CACCACACTGTTATGTTAGATGAAATTTACAGTTAGTCTTGCATCGAGGGTGGCATTATTCTTCCTTCTTTTGCATAATGTACCTCAATATTTATTTGAGGGAAGTTTGTTTTGAAGGATTTATTTGACGGAAAAAGCTTATGTTGCCTGGTATTTCTCCTTGGCAAAAACATTGCCTTTTACCCACTGCTGCGAAGCACAAGCTATGAGTAAATTGCTCTATTGAGAAAATAAGTATGCAATAAATTTTCATGAGCTGTTTCAATCTTGCATTTTTTGCAAGATTGAAATAACTTTTATGAGGAATTGACTTAAGGGGGTGAAGAAGTGCTGAAAAACTTGTGAATAACACGAAACATTCAGCAAAAAGCACTATTGTGGCCTGAAAATCAGCGTTTCCTTGAAGCTGTTTTTAGTGTTCTTAGCGTTGAATGTCGGAACAAGTAAATAAACCGTAATGTTAATATCCTCTGTAAATGCAAAAATTGCGTGTCTGTTAATCCAAGAAGGCACGGTGGTTCTGAATGATGAGAAGAAAACAAGAGGAGACTCAAGCTTGAACCTTCCTTCTCCTGCCTTCAAAAGCTGCGTAACTTTTGATATCATTAGTAATTTGACACCAACTTTTCAATGCCTTTTGGTTTGATTGCATTAAAATTAAAAGCAGCTATTGCCTTGCCTGAAAGAAGTATTCTCACTAAACAAGCAATTAATTTCTTTTGAAGTCCAGAATATCCGTGGTGGAATTGAAAGTGAGCCATTTCCTTATCTAACTTTTGAGGTCAGAACAAATAAAGTCTATGGCAAGGCACTAGGAAAACATGACCTTGGCTGAGCAGCAAGACCCTGACAGTCTCTAGGCCTTTCATTTCTGGTGTAGAATGTTGACACTTCAGTCAAAGTACATTTTCATGATTGTAAAGAGAACTCACAAACCCCCAAACCAACAACACAGTGTATTAATTTAATTTCATCCACTAAATGTCCCATTTATCTTTTGAAAAGAGATGTGGAATAGGAAAGCAGCAGTGGATTTGCAATGGAGGCTCCAGTGCCAGGAAGCCAAGATAGAAGAACTGCTGATAGTTAAGTGCAAATAAAACAAGGAGGAAGGACCCTGAGCCACCCTCTGACTTGGGCTGAGAGCTCAGGCCATTGAGGAGAGGGCTCAGACAGGGGTAGCCCATATATGTGTAAATAAATTAGGAACTTTCTGTCTAAGTGGGTGTTCTGCAATAGGCTCAGCAGCTCCCTTGTTCTTCCTGAAGGGCAAGTTGATTTAATGGTTGAACTTGATAATCTTAGAGGTTTTTTTCACGCTCAACAATTCTGTGGTTCTGTGACACCATCAACAAAAAAAAAAAAAAAAAAAAAGGCCATTATTGTATGTTTAAGGATGTGAGGGGTGAACAGTTGACTGTAACATTCCTGTTGCAAAAGAGGGAGGCAAAAAAAGGTAACTGCCCTTCTGTGATGGAAATTTATCGTTTAACAGCTAGACTTCACCCAGGCTTTTCTATTTCCTTTCTCAGAGACAGAAAGGATGAGTTGTGTAAATGCTGTAAAATACATGTGTCTGAAAATCCCAAAATGTGCTAAATTAACTGATGGGCTAAACTGGTGTTCCTTCCAGTCTGACAAACTGTTTTGCTAGCTCAGTGGAGGTCACAAACATAACAGTATTACTTATTTAGCTCTGAAATAAACAGAACAAGTTTATTTGTTTGGTTTTGTTTGTTTGTTTTTAGTTTGGCTGGTATTTGTTTTGGTTTTTAGCAAGAAGGCGTCAGTTAGGTAATCTCCCAAGTATTTCATGGAAGCAATTAATTTCGGTTTATTCCCTTGATTTAGGGGAACTATTTATATACCTGAGTTAAGAGACTGCTGTATTTTGAACTTACCTGCTTGACCAGGTAATCAGGGATAGCTGAATAAATAACTGGGTTTTTTTTAAAGTTATTTCATCCTTTTAGTGCCTTCTCATCATAAAACATGGGTAAAGCTAGACAAACTTTGGGGATAAAAACCAACCAACCAACCAAAAAACCCCAAAACTTAATCTACTGCTAAACCTGTTTGTCTAATGGGTAAATTCTTTGCTGGGCAAGGTAGAAATTTAAACTATATAAGAGCTGCTCATCAGAATGACTTGTCCTGTCCATACTGTGGGAATCTGACTTGGTTTGCCCAGTCAGTGTGCCAGGTATTAAGCTTTTCCTTCTTTCTGGAAGGGTTATACATCCCTTTAACCAAAGAGAAATTATTCAATCCAGGTATAGTACAGTGCAGTTAAATGTTAAACATATCTTAGCGACTTCTAGCATTTTCCTTTGAAAGGATACCTGGTAGACAGGGGTTCCTAGCAATACTAGTAAGCCCTTCAGTTCAAGGGGCTTGTTTTAAAAACAAGTGAGCAGTTGTTTTCTAATCAGCATAGTGTGAGTTATAGTGATGAAGAGTGCTGTGTGGAAGGTTTTAAAGCAATTTCTAGCCCATTTATTGTGTAATATCAACTGGTGATCATTTATGATTACGTCTTGCATATTTTTGCTTGCTTGCCTGTCACTTCTCTGTCTGAAACCATATGGTTAGGTATATACAGGTTTAAAACTTCTTGCACGCAATTTCCATTTCTTTCATTAAACTAAGCTGTGCTTGTGTGTATAAGTGCATCAGTTTATTACCTTTCAGTGGGAATAATCTGTTATTTCACAAAGTGTTATAATCAAAACAGAATCTTTGTGTGCTAAGTGATTGGAGTAGGATTTGGTAGTCTCACATCTAATTTGAGAGATTATGAATTGTGTGGAATAACTGCTTTAAATCTGTTTGCAATTTAGACAGCTCATATCTTCCAGCTTACACTAATGAGTTGGCTAAGGTGCATGAAGTTAGGGAAAGATGTTTGAGATATGTTGTTTTTAATGGTTTAGTGGGGAAATGGGTAATATGCTTTACTCAGATGCAGGAGATCTTCTTAGAAGATTTTTATGGTTTTCTCAGAAATCTGGATTTCATACTAATTAACTTGGAGGTATTCATCCCAGATTCAGCTACTGATCAGTGCTGCATGTGTAAAACTATAAACCATTATTTAGTAAAAGAGGTTATGCACAGCTACAATTATTACCAGCTGTGAAATTCTGAGACGTGATGGTCTGAATGAAGCTGGTACTTGGTAAGAACTGTTTTGTCTGCCATTCCCAGCTAATGTTCTTTCAATATTTGTTTCTCCTCTCTTACTTTGTATGGGTGGATATTGATTTTTGTTTTTGTAAAGATATAAAGCTTTCTTGAACTTACAGAGCAGCAGTTGTACTTGCTGTGGAAGAACAGGAAGGAAATGCAAGAAGTTTCAGAGTCCCTGCTGAATACTGCTTTTCCATCTGATCTGTCAAAGCAAATATTGGGAGCATGAATGTAAAGAAGCTATTTGGACTTTTGCAGTATCATTGTGCTTCAGCGACTTGGAAAGTAATTACAAATCCTGAGATAAGGAAAGGGGTTTATGATAGAAGAGAAGGCATGTTTGATGTGGCTTTGACAACTGCCACTTGTACATAAAGCAGCATTTGGTGTTGGCATTTGAAGTTGCATTGATGAACAGAAATCTTGATGGTGCTGTGAACTTTCCTCTGTGTGAGAAAACATTTTTCATGTTTTCTGTCCAACACTGGGACTTGTTTGCATTGAGAGGCGAGTACAGCTACTAACACAATGAACTGAACATAGCAAAAAACTTCACCAGCAGCTTTGTGAATTTAAAGTAGCTTCTTTACACTTACAAAAATATATATTCTGTAAGTGCTAAATAAAGTGATAACATGCATGCATGCTGGGAGACTGTGCATGCCGTCAGGGGAGGGAGCCTGTACCTGGCAGAGGTTCTTACCTGTGCCTTTTTTGCAGGTCGTCTTCTGGGAAGGGCAATAATAGGCACTTCCATGTTTCCATCCACTTTTTCTAGGCACTCTCAAAGCCATAGCAGTTTCTCACAAAGACTGTTCAGGTGATGTTGACCTCAGTTCACAGGCAGGCACTGTCCCCCTGCACTGCACTGCACTACTCTGCTCTGCGTGCTGGCCAGCTCTGGGAGCGACAGCGGCGTTCAGTGCTCCCACAGCAGTGGCTGACTACAGCTTGCTCAAGCTGCTGACCTCAGTGGCATATCCTGTGTGCTTGGAGGAAGCCAGGTGTCCTGTTCTGGAGAGTTAGGAGTCTTAAATACCCTGCAAAACTGACCATTTCTCAGTTTGGAATGAGTAGGTGAAATTTGTTTCAACCCCTTTGTACAGCAGCATGGTCTTACATTGACTTAAGCCATCAGTCCACCACACCTTTAAGCTTCAGTGTCCCAGCAACTCGTTCTTAGGCTTGTGCCAGCACAGGCAGGCTGAGCTGGATCAGGGCTGTTCAGGCCAGCTGACAACTAAAGCACCATTTTGTCAGGGGACCTCCATGCCAGCCGATGACAGTCCCTGATCTCAAGCCTACAGAAATTTTGGCATAGTCAAATAAGCTTTCCACAAGAGCAGTAAAACTGGGGAATTTGTAGCCTCGTGCATACACCTATGGCCATTTCTGTGGTTACTCAAGATGTCATTTGTGGTTTTTTCTCAAATTTGGCTTTAATAGGCAGATTGTTTAATTCTGGAACAGCAGGCAGCAAAGGGCTCTCTTGGTTTTGCTGGCAAAAAATGCTTTATTGTTGCTATGGGAATAGTTCTTGCACTGCTGCAGAGTCTGAATGACTTCTGGCTGTCTAGCAGGAGATCTGTTACACCACATTTGTGGACACTGAGATGTGAGTTAGGTTGCCAGGATTTAAGGAACGTGACTTAAAGGTTTCTTCCATGTGTAAAACCAGGAGACAAAGTAGATGTGTTACTTCTGTAGCAGGTTTCACTTTTGTTATCTCTGCTTGTTAAGAGTGAGTATCTTGAACTGCACATACAAGACAGAACTGGATACTAACCTTAAAAAATATGTTTTATTTTTAGCTCCCAAGAAGATGAGCGGCCTATGTCACCCTTCTATGTGAGGTATTTACTCAGTTGTTTAAATTTATTTTTCTGTGCGGGCTTGACTCGTTACTGGAATTAAATGTGGGGAGGGGTGCCAGAAATGCTGAAAAAACTGTAATCAAAGTGAAGATTAATGTTACGTTTGTAATTATTGCTCAGTTAGTGAGATAAGTCTTTGAAGATACAAACTATGTTGCGATTTTTTTGTATTTACAGAATAGACCTGGGCTTTAAACTCTTAATTAGAAGATGGACATGGGTTTCCTCTTTTCTTTGATTTGTTATGTAGCTTAGGTGCCTGTCTTGAGTAGTTTATAATCTGCGGGCACAGGAGAGATTTTTGCCACAAGCTTTGAGGAACTCACAGCATGTGCTGCTCAGAAAGAAATCAGGAACCAGATGGTGAGTCAGCAGCCCATACAGCAACTGCTTCTCTGCTGCAGCCCAGAAGAGCAGGAGAGTGCCTGGGTCCCCAGCAAGCCTCCCTGGAGGGAATGGTGCTCACGCTGCATTTGAACAAATTGTGTTTCTTGTTTTGCCAACTGGAGAGCAAAGTCACTGCTTGTAAAAATGGTCTAATTCTGTTGACATCAGTGAAAGTTTGCTCTGCTTGCTTCAGTAGCAGGCTCAATTCCAGTGCTTTCATTTATACTTAGTGGAAGAACAGGAGCCAGGGCAATTATAACAGTGAAGGGCTGCAGAGGAGGAAGGGCCAGATATTATAATTGGGTTCTTTGATCTCTGCAGAGTTTAAACAAATAAAAAGAAATCCCAGTGGTGCTTTATGTGAGAGCAGTGATAATTAGAATTCTTACAGCGATCTCTGAAATTTGTTAATTCTCTTGTATATATTCCTATTTATCTTTGTAGCTTGGGTTTTTTCTTAGAGATTTTTTTAACAAACTATAGAAACACTGCATTTAATGCATACTGTGCAGAAATGTGTGTCAGTGAACTGTTCATGGACTAGCCTGGTTGCATGATCTTGTCTGCCTTCCTGTTGATACACCATCATTCCCTGAAGTGTGTTTGTGAAGATGTTGCCCAGTCTGGGCCTCAAAAGCTCTGAACTGTCTGAGGAGGTTCTGCCTTTTCCATTGTGAGATTATTTTGTAGCTGCATACATACATTCCCCTGTCTCAAGTTTTCCCTAGTTTAAATCTTCATCCTGTCTTTCCATTGAAAATGGTCCTCCTCTTTCTTTTTGGCTAAATGTGACCTTCAGATCATTTTAGGCTTTCATTATGTTTCCATCTATCTTACTGCTTAAAACTGTCCTTCCAAGCCCTTTCCTGGATTATGGAAAAATTATACATGAAGGAGATTGTCTTCAGATGACTTTGTCAAGATTGCCAAGGAGATAGGGAGCCAGGGGTGAACCTGACAAAACTGACATCAAAGCCGGACATTCCTGAAAGCAGGTTTGAACATTTTAAATAGAAATGTGGCCATCAGGCAAAGCTTTGCCAGCCAGTCAAGGGAGGGGATTGTCCCGCTCTGCTCTGCACTGGTGCGACCTCACCTTCAATATTGTGTGCAGATTTGGGCACCACAATATAAGAAAGATATTAAGCTATTGGAGAGTGTCCAAAGGAGGGCAGTGAAGATGGTGAAGGGCCTTGAGGGGAAGCCGTATGAGGAGTGGCTGTTCGTCCTATAGAAGAGAAGACTGAGGGGAGATCTCATTGCAGTCTACAACTTCCTCATGAGGGAAAGAGGAGGGGCAGACACTGATTTCTTGTCTCTGATGACCAGTGCCAGGACAGGAGGGAATGGCCTGAAGTTGTGTCAGGGGAGGTTTAGGTTGGATATTAGAAAAAGGTTCTTCACCCAGAGGGTGATTGGGCACTGGAATAGGCTCTCCAGAGAAGTGGTTACAGCACCAAGCCTGACAGTTCAAGAAGCATTTGGACAATGCTCTCAGGCACATGGTGGGATTCTCGGGAATGGTCTTGTGCAGGGCTAAGAGTTGGACTCGATGATAATTGTGGGTCCCTTCCAACTCAACATATTCTATGATTCTGTGATATTAGGGTGGGGAAGAAAGATTGTGTACATTGCAATGAAGGGGTGGCTTTCCATGGGAATCTGTCTTGCAAATAGGAAGGAAACAGTCAGGAATAAGCATATAGTTGGGAAGTGAAGGAATGGCTTGTAGGAGCAGAGAGGGAGCAGCATACCTTGAGACAAAGGCTTCGTGCCAAGCTTGTGTCTTTTGTAACGTTGCTGGGATACAGTTACTTGTAAATAAAGAGAACAGCTTGTAAGTCTTGCTTCTATTTATCACACATCAGAAATGTGTCCTCCTGCGGTCAGTTGCCAAGTGCAGTTAATTTGGCAGGAGAGCTGGTGCTGGCTGGGCAAATCATGGTGCTTCAACAACTGAGAACTTGAGTGGGTGGCCAATTTTCAGTGCAACTTTGACTGTTCTAATTGCTGCCCCAGAACTGTGCATGACATATGTAGGAATTGTGTTTCCCACCATGGGCAAGGAAGGGGAGACTGTTTCCTTTAGCTGTCTGAGGGTCAAATATATTTCTCTTACTACCAGCCACATTTATAAAATTTGAAATACTGTTCAAGTAATCCTTGAAGTGAATCATGAATGTTTAGGTACAGAGCAGCCACTGCTGTGTTTATGCAGTATTTCCATATAGATAATTATACAAGTTAAATAAGTGGGAACAAGAGCTCTTTAGCTTCCAAACACTGCATGATACTTGGCTTTGCCAGACTGAAGGAACATTGTGTCCCTCTGTCATGGTTTAACCCCAGCCAGCAACCAGACGCTCGCTTACTCCCGCACCAGAGGGACTGGGGACATCATTGGAATGGTAAAAGCTAGAAAACTTGTGGGTTGAGATAAAGACAGTTTAATAGGAAAAAGCCATTCACTCAACCAAAGCAAACCCAGGAATCAATTCACTGCTTCCATGGGCAGGCAGGTGTTCAGCCATCTCCAGGAGAGCAACTGTTACACATGTAACAGTTACTTGGGAAGACAAACGCCATCACTCCAAGCGTCCCTCACTTCTTCCATCTTCCCCCCACTTTAAATGCAAAGCATGATGTTGCAGTGTATGGAATATCCCTTTGGTCAGTTTGGGTGACCTATCCTGGCTGTGTCTCCTCCCAGCCTCTTGTGCACCCCCAACTTCCTTGCCAGCGTGGCGGTACAAAAAGTGGGAAAGGCCTTGGGTCTGCATAAGCCCTGCTCAGCAACAACCAAAACATCTGTATATTATCAACCCCGTGTCCAGCACAAATCCAAAACACAGCCCTGTATCAGCCACCGTGAAGAAAATTAACTCTACTCCAGCCAAAACCAGCACACCCCCATAGACCAGTTTTGGGAGAATCAAACCAGAGACTTGATTATTCAGTGCCGTACCGTGTCAGCTAGAAATGGAGATATTTCCCTGGCTGGTCTTTTTAACAATAAGGTCAATACTGAAGGTCTTAACTTTTAAGTTGGGTTTTTTTCCTTTAGACATTGGGAAAGTCAAGACCAATTATAGAGTTTATCACCACTGCTGCTTTGTAAGGAAATAAGAAATCATTAACGGTACAAGAGTAAGCAGTAAATGAGGCAAAATGTGACATAGGTTTGTAAAGAGTGGTGGCAACCACACAGCAAAATTATTTTTATAAGACTTTACAGAGAGAGGAAGAAAAGTAATATACCTAATCTGTCTGGCATCAGCAAAATGTTTTATATCATGCCATCGATATGGAAAAAAAGGACATTAGTACTAGAACTTAAAGATGGGCAGGGAGGGGGTGAGACATATAGAGCAAGGAGAATGCTGCTGGAGCTCCTTAAATGTCATGGACTTTTTTTCTTTAATAGCCACTGGCACAGTAAAATCAAATCATGTTGATGAACTGAGCTTATAGCAGAAATTTAGGATGGATGAATGGGTTGGGAGTGTCTTCTGGGAGAAAATATGTGGTAGTGAGATATTATATAGGGTGATTTGTATATATATATATATATATAAAGATAAGCATCAAATATAAGATATAGTATAAAAATAATAACATAGGTAATAATGTCATATATCTCAGGACTAATAATGAAAATCTTTGACGTGAAAGGGGAGTTCCTCGCATTTGGAAGTGCCAAGGAAGAAAAGGATGTGGGCATACTTGTTCATGGAGGGATGGAAGGGAGGCATGGGATGAAAATCTTCAAGTTGAAGTAATCACATGACAATGGATATACAAAGGAATTATTTTCAGTATACCTTTGTCCAAGAGACAGGTGAGGCCCTGCACAGCTTCAGTAACTTGTGTTCCAATGGCATTAGGTTTATGAAGATGATTAAAGAAATGGACAGACCCTGTTATAAGATGGAGAAAAGAGCATGGAGGTCTTAGCCACCATAAGAAACCAGAGAATACATATTCATTCTGAGTTTTGGACAGAAGGGAAGGATTGTTTGTGTTAAATAACAATACTGATGCAAGAGGAAATGTGTACAAATAGTCTATGAATAAATTTTAGCAGAAAATTATTAATTTGTAGCTGAAGGCCTCTTTTGTTGGGCATTATAAGGGTGTGGTCAGCTTGACCAATTTGAGAGATGTGAGATTTGAGTCCATTCGCTTACTGCTGACCAGGGTTATCCTCTCCCTCTCTGTAGTCCTTGGTCAGATAATTTGTTGGCTCAGCTATGCTAAGTAGCAGGCAAGGAGATTTCTGCACTGTAAAAGAAGAGGAGAATCTTGCTGAGTGATTGATTGTTCCAGGGAGTCTCCCCTGAAGGATGTTTACGTTCCAAAACCTCTTGTAACAAAACCTTGTGGTAAATGGAGTTGAGATTGTTAAAAAGTGCAAAGCACTGCTCCTTGTGTAATTCTGTAATGAGACTGTGATGCCAGCTGTACTGAGTAATCAGTGCTGAGGAACAGTCTGCAGTTTCAGGTAATGAAACAGCATCTGGCAGCGGCAGTTCCTTGTAAGCACAATTCTGCTCAACAAGTGCTATGAGTTTTTGGAAGTCAGAGGATCTACA